CTCCTAACACAACCAAAACCTGAAAAAAAAATCTCCAATATGTACATGTTGGTAATGATGTATGTGTGGTGAAAATATAAAGAAGGCACTGACACTGTTCAATGTGTTGCAATTTAATCATAGTAATTGTGTTGGTCAAAGTTTCTTCACTAGAAAAGTTAGACATGAAAAAATGTTGCAGCTACTAGGCAAAAGTTAATTTGTAGTAAACATTGTCAACTTGATTAGCTTTTAGCACTGTGATCATTGCTATAGCATGTAGTAGAAGTGTTGACACACGAACACGTCACGTGTACCCTCGATGCGGGGGGTGATGCACCGCAGCTCATGTCGAAGGAGACCCGACCGACAGCGCGATACGCAAGACAGTTGGCGGGTGCTTTTGCAGACCCAACCCCACACGCCCAGGAGGGACCCCGTCAGGGAGTGCGGTGGCTATGGGTTGCCTAGGTCGATCCGCTCGCCCCTAGAGCCTCGGGATTCGCATCTCTCACGAAGAACAACGAACAACAAGATAAAAAAACGATGGTGGGATAAAACATAGATGAAAATTTAGTATATTGATTTGTTCGATTCTGTGTTGTAACAATCGGCCATCACTCTCAATATATATAAGAGGTGGTTGGACTTCCCGTCACTTTTGAGACGCCGTCCTTAGCGGCCACCACGCCCCTGGAATGTCATTGAGTTTTTTTTTTAACTTGTTGTTTTCTAGAGTAACACGATGATAGGGTACTCGGTGATCAAGGATGAGTTGTTACAGAAGCGTGGTTAGCCGTATGCAAACTTTGTAGGCATGAACAAGGGCCCGGCCTTTTTGCAAAGCTTGCATGCTTCACTTCATGACCGAAAGAAAACCTGCGCAGCTGCCTATGGCGCAGCGACGCAAGATTGCGAAGCTGCTGCTCACAGCAGAGGGAGATCGCCGGCCGTGTTGCCATGGAGGTGAAGGAAGATCTGCCGCTCTGCTAGTCACAGCAAGAGGGAGATCACCGGCCGTGTTCTCCATGGACGCGAAGGAAGATCTAGGGTGCTGCTGGCCGTTGCAGCGTGCTCGTGGTGAAAAATAATCAGGGGATCTGAAACCGGAGGAGCAGTGTTTTCCCATATAAGTCCGTATGGGTCGTTTTTGGTTTTGCGAAGAGCTGTTTCCGATTACAGGGGATCTGAAACTGGCCCGACCTAAACAAATACCGATTATAGGGGATCTGAAACCGGCCCGACCGAAACAAACACCGCTAACGTAATCACGAGCCAGTGTAATTGGAAGACAGCGAAAGAATCGCCAACCAAACGCGTCGTGAATTCCCGGTGTTTCCCTTTCCCACTTTGGCATCTATATACACATGGCATTTGCTAATCTCATCAATTTGCCGTTTCCATCAATCTCATCTCTCTTAATGAAAAGAGATTTTGGTCGTGTGCCTACTTTCCTACTTCGGCAGCGTCACACATGAAAGCTATTGTTATGTGGGTCAACCCATGCACGCATTACAAATAACGATGAAGGTTGTTAAGCGCTAGTAAGGCCATATAAATAGGACATAGTACAACCTATGCAAATCGGAGACATCATTCTGACTGGAGAGGATGACACATGGATATTTTAATTCATGAAGATCTTGATGTCAACTTTGGTCTAATAAAGTACACCCTCTGTTCCTAAATGTAAGATGTTTTGGCAGTACATCTTACATTTTGAAACAGATGGTGTATTGATAGCGCTTCTTAGATGTCAAAAGTATTGATAATCTATAAATTAGCATATAACTCGTGAACACGTAGCCTGTTGTGATTAACAATTTTAGAGTCTTGGCAAATCCCCAGAGTGCAAAACATACAAAGCAAACACGTCTGCCTACAGCTTACTCCATACACCAATCTTGAAGAGTGCATTTACAGTATAAATAGAAATGAGCCAAACTGATGAGCAAAAAAACTGTTTATTTCCACTAAAGAATCGAGTAACCGCTTTCATGGTCCTATATGTTACAAAGGATAAAAATATGAAACTACCAAACCCCCATTTGAATCCTTTGCACCAACACAACCAACACAAGGGGAAGCCGATCAAAATTAATAGACAAAAATGGGCAGTACATTATTTCTTTTGTCAAGGAAGTACTCACGATCTTTGGAAACGCCTCCGGATTGCATGTTAATTTTTCCAAGTCTTCAGCAATTCTGATCCGGGGAGAGAAGCAGGACGAGGAGGTGGTCAGAAGCGCGCTACCGTGGACGATTGATCACTTCCCGTGTAAATATCTGGGTCTACAGCTTGGGATCAAACAATTGACTCATTCTGAATGGCAATGCATGGTGGATGGAGCGCTCAAAATCTTGCCAGGATGGCAAAGAGGCCTGGTTACACGTCCGGGAAGGCTGATTCTTGTGCAACAAGTGATGAGGGCGCGTCCCACGCATCACCTAATTGTGGCGGAGGCGCCGAAGTGGGCGATCGAGAAAGTGGATCAGGGTTGTCGTGCGTTCTTTTGGGCTGGTTCTGATGCCGTTAGTGGCGGGAAGTGCGTGGTATCTTGGCGGAGAGTGTGTCACCCTAAACAGCTGGGTGGTCTGGGCATTTTGGACCTCAGTAAACACGGTCTTGCCCTTCGGTTGAGATGGGAAAGGCTACGCAGGCTGTACGATAGCAGGCCATGGCAAGGATTGAATCTCACAACTGATAAACAGGTCCAGCACACATTCAATAGCCTGGTGAAGTGGGAGATCGGAGACGGCACGAGAATTCTATTTTGGAAGGACAGATGGGTGCAAGGTTACACGATCGCTGAGATGGCCCCTGGCCTGGTAGCTAAGGTCAAGACGAGGACAGTCAATTCACGGCTAGTCAGCGAGGGGCTACACCAGCATGCGTGGCTCAAGGACTTGCCGGAGAATCTATCGACAGAGGAGCTGATGCAGTTTATACATCTTTGGGACGCACTTGTGCACGTCGATATTTCTCCTGGCAGTGGAGACAAGGCGATCTGGGCATGGCATGAGTCTGGTAGCTATTCTGCGGCGTCGGCTTATCGGATGCTCTGCTCCGGTGGTATCAGTTTTGCACCTGCAGCCGCCATTTGGAAAAACGGAGCCCCCCCTGGCCTATAAGATTTTCATGTGGCTAGCTATCCAAAACCGCATCTGGACGTCGGACCGGAGACTAAGGCATGGTTTGCATGACACGGCCTCCACGTGCTCTGCGACCAGGAGGAGGACAATGTAGATCACCTCATGATTCAGTGTGCCTTCGCGCGACAGGTATGGTATCAATGCTTTGCCAAAGTTGGCATCGATACCAACCCGAGCCATGTGCATCACGATTTGCTGCAACAATGGTGGATGAATGCGCGCAAGCAGGTGAGTTCCGCGGACAAGAAGGGCTTCGATGCGTTTGTCATGTTGATCTGCCGGACGCTATGGAAGCAAAGGAATGGGGTGTTTCAATCCGGTACTATTTGCGATGAGTTCGTGACAGTGAATCTAATCTTCCAGGAGATACATCTCTGGAAGTTAGCGGGAGTGGTAGGAGTCCAACGTTTTTGTGAGTAGTCCGTCTAGGGTAGGGGAGTGGTTGGGTGGAATCGTCGGTTTGTGACGATCTACCATACAATCTC